AAAGCCACGAATGATCTCCCCCAGCGGCTTTACATAAATATTGAACAAAAGGGGGGAGAGGACCGACCCCTGAGGCACCCCACAAGTTAGGGGCCTAGGAGTCGACCTCTGTCCCCCCGCCAATACAGACTGCGTACGGTCGGTGAGGAAGGAGGAGAACCACCGCATAACGGTGCCTCCCACTCCTAACTCACCGAAATGCCGCAGCATGATACCGTGGTCTACAGTATCAAAAGCCGCTGAGAGGTCCAAAAGAACAAGGACAGAGGAATAACCTCTGTCCCGGGCCCTCCAGAGATCATTAACCAATGCGACCAATGCCGTTTCCGTGCTGTGTCCCGGCCTGAAGCCCGACTGGTATGGGTCCAGATAGACTGTTTCATCCAGGTGCCGAGGGAATTGCTGGGCAACCACACTCTCAACAACCTTCGCCGCAAAGCGAAGGTTGGAGACTGGGCGATAACTGGCCAACTCATCTGGGTCCAGGGAAGGCTTCTTGAGGAGGGGCCTCACAACGGCCTCCTTAAGGGCCGCAGGAAAGACACCCTCAAGGTTCTCTCTCTCTTTTTTCATAGAGAGATCCCACTATATCAGGGTACCCTAATAAACTGCTTTTAAATGATCTTCTGACTCAGTTGTTTATTGGGAAGGTAAACTGAGGCATGCTCATTTTTTTCAATATGAATTTTGTTTACACTGATGCTAACTCTCAAAGTTTAATCTGTTACTCCTCCGTTAAGAAACATAAAGTATCCTAGTGGTAGTTATCAAATAATGCTAACTCAATATACTTCGTAGGAATATAAGATTTGGTTATATTTAATAGGAAAACAATGCATAGCAAAAATAAACTTGTGTCTATAATTTGTTTTATCTAAAAATGAATCATCTTCCAAAATGGCTATGCTTTGTGACATGGTCAGTAGACTCAGAATTACAGTTGCATTTTGTCAGCCCTTTGAGATTAGCCGGAACAGGAAAAAGACCCACAAGCACTACTAGAATTCTACTTTATGGATATAGAACAGACATGTCAAACTCGTGATGTCACATGACGTTGCGCGACGTATTGGGACTTTTTCCCCATTGCCGGCAATGGGGTGGGCATGGTTTCCTTGTGACGCATCCGGCCCATGGGCCGGCAGTTTGACACCCCTGATATAGAGTATATACTAATCGAATCTTGGAAACCTGACAGAGATTCCCCCCTGGCCCCTATATGCAAGAGAATCAAGGAGAGGCAATCTTGAGTTTCTTTCTCATTTACTCCTCTCTTCCAGGGCTAATCTGGTATTTACGTAATGGCTGTTGAATTCCTTCTTCAAGGCCTTCTACTCTGCATCTTTTCCGCATTTTTAAAAAATATGTGTTATCTAATTTGGCAATTAACACTGGAGTAATATACCAATGGGAAAAAAATGTCATGCTAATTTTCTGAGTATAATATTCATAGCAAACATGGTGTTTAACTTGCATTGATATTCCCATTGTTGCACATCATTTATGCTGTTTAAATTCTGCATTCATTTAATTATGTAGTATTTGACTTGTTTTATTCCTGAATCATATTTTAGTAACAACTTATATTTAATCCCTAGGCCTTCATCTGTTCTGTGTATTGATTTAATCTTTAAAAATAAAACAAATATAAAACTTTTGAAGAATTTCTCCTTGGAATAAGCAACAAGTCATTGGTTTTAGCATCTTCAAACATGCAGTATAGTTCAAAAGAAGCTAAAAAAAATAAGGTAACATTTTTAGAGATTTAAAATTTTAAATGCTTATATCACAAACCTCAATGCAAATTAAGGAATTAATTTAAAAAAAATCTCTCTCTATGAGTGGATGAATTTTAACATTAAGGAGATAAACAAATGTAGATTTAAACATTACACTTCGTTACAATATTTAATAGGCACTCCCAATAGACAGCCGTAACTTCAACAGTCCACGAATGTAAAGATCATGAAACCTAAAGAAGTGGAATGGAGATTCAATATTTTTCAGCAAAATCAAAATTAAATATTGTGAATATTTAAAATCCTTTAACATTAATACAATCTTGAAGGAAGGTACACTTGGGTTTCACATGGCTGATTTAAAAAAAACATCATTTGGAATTATTTTAGATTGGGTAATCTAAATTATTTAAATGCCCCAAATGGGCATTTCTCACCTTCACGTAGTAACTGCTCCTTATTCTCTTTCATGTCAGCCACTGGTTTCTCCCTGGCCTGAAAAGTGAAAGATGATATCATGAAAAGAAACAAGACAACAAAAAAATATGCTGTAGATATGAGGAAGGAAATCAATAAAAAAAAATCTCCCAACTTTAAACAAAATCTCCCAAATTTAAAGTAAAACAAAAACTAATAGACAGGTGCTGTAGCATCAGGAAGAAGCCAACCTTTTCCACTTCTGCTATTTTTACCCAATTAAAATCAGAAAGAAATTATATTTGTCCCACGGGGTGAAGGGTTAATTATATATTTATTAAATAAATAATTTTTAATCAAGTGCATATTCAAATACATAGCCTCCAGTTTTACTCATCAAACAAATATTAATATGAGGGAGGAGTATGAAAGGTAGGATGTTAATCAGAAAAATATCACTGTAAAAGATAAAGTAATACAAATAAGAATAATGTTTTTACGTTAATTATATGTATTTTAATATTAACAATCCCATCTGTTTAAGTGTTAGCTGGATTGAGAGACTGGCAATCTTTTTGTGATCAGATCTATCCTTTTATAAATATTTTGTCTGCTAATGAGGAACAAAGGGATAACAAAAATATGATCTCACTAGAAAGAAAGATTGCATTTGGAACTGTTTCTCTTTCTCTTGAGATTTTTTTTTCAATATGAATTTTGTTTACACTGATGCTGACTCCCAAAGTTTACTCTGTTACTCCTCTGTTAAGAAACATAACGTATCCTAGTGGTAGTTATCAAATAAAGCTAACTCAGTATACTTCGTAGGAATATAAGTCTTGGTTATACTGAATAAGAAAATAATGAATAGAAAAAATAAATTGTATCTATAATTTGCTTTATCTAAAAATGAATCATCTTCCAAAATGGCTGTACTTTGTGATATGGTCACTAGATTAAATCTATTGCGAATTTATGTACTGTTCTTTTTCCACTAAACATGTTGAATGTTGAATTACTGCTGAATTCAGATAAAGCAGTCTCAGTGGGACATGGGAACTATAAGTACTTTAAAACCCATATATTAGCTATGGGTTGCCCATTCCACTAAAGAGGACAACTCCAGTGTTATCAAATAATGAAAAACCTATCAAGAGTGCTTGAACTAGCCATACTCTATACCAGTGGTGGCGAACCTATGGCAGGGGTGCCAGAGGAGGCACTCAGAGCCCTCTCTGTGGGCACGCGCGCCGTCGCCCCAGTCCTAGGCCTTCAGCTGGGTTTTATAAAACCTTTTCACTTTAGGCCTCTGCCACCGTGTACAAAAAAAAAAAAGGTTCAATCAATCAGTCAATTTCAACTTCTCAGAGGAAAAAAAAAGATCTTGCAAAGTTGGAATTGATTGATTGAACTTTTTAGTCCCACCCAGTCTGCCGTTACCACCGCAGCCACGCCCACCCAATGGGCCACACCACCCAATGGACCACACCCACCCAATGGACCACACCCACCCGGCACCCGACGATGAATAAGTGAGTTTTGGGTTGCAGTTTGGGCACTCGGTCTCTAAAACAGTGGTTCTCAACCTGTGGGTCGGGACCCCATTTGGGGTCGATCGACCATTTCACGGGGGTCGCCAAGCAAGGCTGTCTGCCATTTTTTTGTCCGCTGTTTTTTTTGTCCGCCATTTTTTTCCCCTTTTCCGGCGGGTGCCTTACCTCCCTTGGGCTGGGCCAGCTGGTGGTCGGCCTGCTCCGTCTCTGCCGTTTGCCAGCTATGGCTCGGCCGGCGCAGGGGGCAGAACCACGCATGCGTGGCGCTCCCGGGCAGGGAAAGTCCTCGACTTACGACCGGTTGGGTGGTCCTCGACTTACGACCTGTTTAGTCCTCGACTTACGACCGGTTTAGTCCTCGACTTACGACCGGTTGGGGTCACGGCATTAAAAAGGTTGAGAACCACTGCTCTAAAAGGTTCGCCATCACTGCTCTATACATATAGAGTAAATGCATGTATAGCATTCAGCAACACTCACATGCCATCATCTGTCCAGCAGTAATCGTACATTGACAAAGGAGCCGTGGTGGCATGTAATCTGGCATCTATGGAGTAACGTAAGTCTACAGGTAGTCCTTGACATACAACCACAATTGAGCCCAAAATTTATGTGGCTCATTTATTAAATGAGTTTTGTCCCATTTTATGACATTTTTTGCCACAGTTGTTAAGTGAATTATTTCAGTTGTTAAGTGAATCTGGTTTCCCCATTGACGTTTCCTATCAGAAGGTTGCAAAAAGTGATCACATGACCCTGGGACACTGTAACCATCGTAAGGACATGCAGTTGCCAAGTGTCCAAATTTGGATCATGCAACGATGGAGATGCTGCAATGATTGTAGGTGTGAAAAACGGTCATTAAGTCACTCTTTGAGGGGCTATTGTAACTTTGAATGGTCACTAAACGAACTGTTGTAAGCCAAGGACAATCTGTATTCCTAAATTGTATAGAATGATCATTGTATCTCTTTGTATGCATGTTCTTGCCATTTGGAGTAAATAACAGCTATATAATAGTTTTCTTGGTGCATAATAGGCAGTCTGTAAGCAAATAATATGTACCTCCCTGTTCCTAATACATCCACAGGTCCTTTAGAGTATTTCTCCAATGCAAGTAAATTCTCCTGAGAGGATTTTCCATGCCTAATATAGTAATATCCATTCTTTCTATTGCACTTTTAGATCTCAGTATGAAACTGTGAAATATCTTTTTGTAGACGGGGCCAAATGTTTTTTTAGCTAATTTGATGTCACTATTCCCAAAGGCAATAGGATTGGAATTCAAGATCTCTCACTCACAGTTTTGCTGCCTACATTTACTGAATTTTAATAAGTATTACATTAACTAATACAATAAATATTAATAGAATATAATTTATGCTACAGGGGAAAAACAGACCCTTACATAAAGTTCCCAGAGATTCTTGTGCTTCTCCATCAACTCATCAAGTAACTGCTCAAATGCCATTCTGAAAGCAGAAAAAAAAATACAAGACAGGAAGAAGACAGAATTGAATTATTGCGTTGCAAATAATTTCAGCTTCTTCTGCACTTCTAGAGAATGTCAACTGCAACAGAATGTAGCACATCAAGCACTTGGATGGGCTTTCTTGCAGGGCTGGTCAAGGGGAGGCACTGTCTTAAATGCAGAACCTGGTCCTCAACTTTGGAAGTACTGAGCCATATATAGTACTGAGCCATATATAGTACTGAGCTATATATGTTAGAAAATGTGAAGCAGGTGCCAGTCTTAAAGGGCATTGCTATGGAGTGGGTGCTTGGTGTGGCCATGCCTATTAATTGTGCAGTAAGCCAAGAAGCTGCAAATAAAAGCATCAGCCATGTTACTTTGACTAGCATTGGGTCCATTTGTATTCTAGGCCTGGTAGCATTCTTTAGTAATCCTCTGCCTGCCATGATGTTACTTAACTTAATGGAATTGCAGCCACTGTGCAGTAGGGCAGGGCAAATCTTTGTCAAGGCAGAGCACCATTATTTTTCTGATTCAATCACCAAAGTGCTGGTCAGTGTTGAACCGCCAACGATTTGTGCAGTTCAACGTGCACAAACTAGCTTGATTTTAGAGAGGATGCACAAGATATACACCCCCACACCATTCCTGCAAGAGTTTCTAAAAATACTGTCTTTCTTGTTCATGTAATACCAACATTGTACAGACATACTTGACACACTGCTATAGATTCATCTTGTTCCACGTTCAGTATTCAATATTGGCTATTCATTTTTCAAAGGAAGAAAATAGTGGAATAGTAACTCCTGCATATTTGTCTTCTGCACCTTGTAATAAGTACAGGACTTCAGAATATTGAGATAGCACACAGTTTCCCATCATGGCTAAGGCCTACAAACTATTCTGTCTGTCTAAACTATTTTATACCTATTTAAATCAGAAGAATTATCATTACCTTTTGTGGTAAGGAATTCCATATTCTAAAGATATTAGGTAAAATGGTATTTTTGTTAGTATTAAACTTATGTGGAAAACGAAAATATTGGGTATTGTTTTTTATGCAAGGTTTAGGCCCAGGTAAACTGAATCGGGCCTCATGGACAAAGTATTGAACCAAAGTCTGTGCTATGCTTAGTTTTGCAGTTTGCAATGGTATTTTATTTAATATGATTTTGCTAAGCTTGCTTGTTTCAAATATATTTAGAACATAAGGACATAAGAAATAGGGAACTGAAAGTAGCTGATGGATGCGGGTTCCAATGTACACAGGTATATGTGGAAAGTTATGTTCAGCAGAAGTCAGCAGAAGTCAGCAGACCATCTGACTACAGTCTTAGAACAAGAAAGGGTATAAAGGGTTGGGACTGGACCTGACTGATTTGCCATTGGCCTATAGCTGTCCTTTTGGAATCTGCTATGTCATATGGTCCTCATTGCAATGAGTTATTAATGTAAGTGATGTTGTGTTATTATGCTTGCTATGTTCCAAATTATTAGCAAAATAAACCTCTGAATCTTAAAGTAAGAATTATTGTTTTGTGTTGCTGTCTCTTGTTTTTTTCCATTGGGTTTTTCCACGACACTTATCTCCAAACAATTTTATTGAATGACCTAAAATGTTTTGACAAAATCAGAGATTTCTTTAGTTGCATTACTATATTATTTATTATTTCAATTAATGCAGCTTTATTCTTTACAGAAAATGATTTGCTAAAGGAATGAAGTCTGAAATGTGATCTGATAAATGTAAATGTAATAACTTTTTTTGATAATACATGAATTAAGTGAAATCAGAAGATGCTAGCCCATGGACATTTATAGCAACATTGCAAGATTTTAGGAACCAACCTCTGTTCCCTCTGCTTCAGTTTTTCCATCTTAATCTTGGCTGTGATTCCTTCAATTTGTTGCTTACAGTCCAGGTTCAATTTCTGCTCCCTGGTAAATGAGAAGAAGCCAAGATATCGAATGGGCTAATTCTTAATTTTGTTCTGATAATCACTTTGTTCTTGGGCCATATATTGCAATATAAATCATTTTACTGAAAACACATGCAATAGAACAGAGCAGTCGTCTCATCTCAAGAAATAATCGGTTCACACTCACCTGTGTGTTCCTTAAACAAAGACCACGTATTCGAAAGTAACATGTATGTTCGTTGTTTATTATTAGTACTATTTTATGTTAGTAGTACTTAGTATTATATATAACTGTCGTCAAAACTATATATCTAAAATAAGTTCATTAAACAACATAAAGACATCAGATCAACATTGCTCAGCACTTTTTAATAGCTACCGGTAAGTCCACAAAGTAGGTGGATCAGAGGCCTTAGCTCACCTCTGCATTTCAGCTTCTGTCTCCTTTGAGTGCATCTGCATGACTTTTTTGATCTCTGCAAGAAAGGTAAATATTAACTCTCAGCAGTTCAGGTTATTCTCTTTCTGCATAATATTTCTGCAATGGTTTTATGGGCTGTATGTTATCTCACTGAAGTAATGGCATTACTTTCAAGGAACGGAGCATATGCAATCACATTATGCCACACTTTCATTAGACAGAGCAACAAGGGACTGCAGGAAAGGGAATGTTCTATTTCTCTTCTGTATTCAGCACAGGTATTCAGAAAGTTATTTAAAGAAAAAAGGCTCATCGGGAAAGTGTGTTGGGCTTGTGATGATCAGCTTGATGAAAATTTTGGTCCAGTATGTACTTGCCATGAAAAAGTTTAATTCCATCTTATGAAACTTCGAGAATTAAATAAAAAATAGAATAGAATAGAGCAGAGCAGAGCAGAGCAGAGTAGAGCAGAGTAGAGTAGGAGTAGAGTAGAATAGAATAGAATAGAATAGAAATAAAAAATAATATGGTTAATATTGTCAAGTACAGAAATTATTTAAATTATCAGGTGGAGAAAGTACATAGAAATCATTTTCTCTCTGCAGCACACAGGACTTTTAAGTGTTGTTTTTTATCTATAATTACAGTAGTATCTTAGTACTCAACTGCTTTGAAACTCATTGAATTTGGTGTTCAATGTATTTTGATGTAAATAAGTGACAGGAATTTGAGGGAAGTTGGGGGTGGTTTTAAACTATGAGATGTGTATTTTAGGACTTTGTTTTCATCTGCATCTCCTCTCAAAATTTGGGGAATTGTTGGCTTTTGTTGGGGATGGCTCAGAGCATTATAAAAGCAAACTTGTGCTGCATATAGCCTGTGGCCACAAGGTCTCACCTTGCCTTAACTCACTGCCTATGAAATATGTCATCTTCATGTAACAAATGGGAATAAGTAAAGCTGAGAGGAGAAATGCTGACTTTTGTAGCTTTAAAAAAAATAGGGCAATGTGGTGTTTTAGTACTGCCATTGTCTCAAATGAATTTGATTATTTTTTTTTACCCTCAGTTTCTGTTGTAGTTCTGTAAACCATCCTTGAAATATATGCATTGAAGGATGGAATATAAACATATACCGTAACAGCAACAGTAAGAAACTATTAATACAAAACTTAGATTTTTTTTCTAACATTATCAATAGAAACCTATACAAAATGGTATGAGCATTGAAAGATAAATCTTAATTGAATTAATTTTACAATAATACCAAAACATAAAGCATCGCTTAAAACTGCATTTAATACTGCAATGTATCTCTTGAAACTGTATTTCATATTGTAATCGTATTGATAGTGAATTGTCCTTGCAATAAATATGAAATTTTAAGGAATATAATGTGGACAAGTACTAAAACTGATAATGTTTTAAAAAAAGAAAAAATCAGGACGGTGTCTCAGAATTTTCCATTACCCTTTTTCTCATTCCATATTTCTTCAAGCCTTGACTTCTCAGCATTCACTACAAGAGAAGGAGTTATTTCATTTAGGCATTATTTTTATCATCTTGTAGAAAATATAAATAGAAGAAACCTCAGATATTGGTGCTTATTTTTCTAAAACTGCATTATAAAAATCTGCCCTCTGTTCCCAGGTACTGCACATTTTCTACAGCTATAGTGTCCTCTGTCTACAAGCATGAACAGAAAAACCATTCTAAGTAATCTTATTGCATTGATCTTTCATGCTTTTATATGCTGGTTGTCCACTTTGTGGTCTCCCTCCTGTTTCTCAGTCGTTCCCATATAGCAGTGATGGCGAACCTTTTAGAGACTGAGTGCCCAAACTGCAACCCAAAACCCACTTATGCATCGTCGGGTGCCGGGTGGGTGTGGCCCATTAGGTGGGTGTGCTGTGGTGGTAACAGCAGATGGGTGGGTCTAAAAAGTTCAATCAATCAATTCCAACTTTGAAGATCTTTTTTTTCCCCGCGAGAAGTTGAAATTGACTGATTGATTGAACCTTTTTTTTTTGTACATGGCGGTGGCCTAAAGTGAAAAGGTTTTATAAAACCCAGCTGAAGGCCTAGGACTGGGGCAACGGCGCGCATGCCCACAGAGAGAGCTCTGAGTGCCGCCTCTGGCACCCGTGCCATAGGTTCGCCACCACTGCCATATAGTATACTGTTGTATCTCAGGTAATATATTGGCTGTTGTTAAAATAGTTAAATTAACTGGTCTGCACCTACAGATCAACAGCACTGTAAATCATACATAGCAACATAGCATAATGTGGCTGCTTGCGTAGTGATGTCCACCCATTATTGTTTAATATATATGAACCCATCCATTATGATTTAGGTTATGTAGTAACCAGCTATTATGACTTATTCAGCATAGTATGGTTTAAAAACTTGCCTTAATATAGAAGAGACCTCAGAGGAGCAACGGCTGGAGGCAACTGGGGGCAATTAGAAAGACTGGCTGAGCACAGGAAGGCAGTCAAAAAAGCAAGGCAGAGAGGATAGAAATAAATAAGGAGCAAATTAAGAAAAGAAAGGATAGGGATGAAAGCTAAAAGCAAATCCCTTGTTAAGGAGAAAGCAGCCTTTCCCTTCGTTAAATAGCCCTATCCTAACATTAACTTTTAACTTCAATATAAACTGCATTTTTTTTTCCTTTAAAATCAAAGGGCATACTGCCACATACTTTTATCTATATCTAAATAACAAGGCAAAAAAACAAGCACAAACAGGCAGAAAAAAGGGATAGAAAAATAGGCATAATTACCTAGAACCGAGAAGCTAGAAACAAGGCTAACAGCAAAGCACATCCACCAACCAAAAAGAGGGATTTTCAAACAATAAACTCATGGAACAGGTGACTGATACTATTGTGGTATGCAATACATGTTCCATGTATGTGCTTATGCCCAAAGAACACCCAAACTATAGATGCATTAGATGTAAATTATGTAAACTACTGGAGGAAAAAGTAAGGGACTTAGAGGCAACTCTAGCCAAACCCCAACAACAAAAGAAAGCTCTACCCAAACCAAACCAAATAATGAACAAATAACACCCAGAGAATTTTACCCTACTGATAAATCTGTTAAATAAGTTAAGGAAACTGTAGGTTCACTAAAGAGAGAGAATGGCAAGACAATAACAGGCAACAGGGAGAAAGCAGAGCTGCTTAACTCATTCTTTCCATCAGTCTTCACACAAAAAGAAACTACAGCCCAACATACAAAAAAAAACCACTGCAAAAGACAAACTAGAAACAAAAATTAAAATAAGCGGGAAAATGGTAAGAGAACATCTATCCGACCTTGACGAATATAAATCAACGGGACCCGACAGACTACATCCCAGAGTTCTGAAGGAGCTGGCAGATGTTATCTCAGAACCACTGCACAATATGGGGAAATACCTGAGGATTGGATAAGGGCTGATATGGTTCCCATCTTCAAGAAAGGGAAAAAACGGACCCAGGAAACTACAGACCAATCAGTTTAACATCAATACCTGGGAAGATCCTAGAAAAGATAATCAAAAAACAGATCTGCCAACAACTAGAAGCAAACAGAGTTATAACTAGTAGCCAGCATGGGTTTGTTAAAAACAGATCATGCCAAACCAATCTTATTTCATTCATCGATAAAGTGACTAAACTAGTAGATCAGCGAAATGCTGTGGACGTAGTATACTTAGATTTCAGTAAGGCATTTGATAAAGTAGACCACAACCTACTCTTTCGTAAGCTAGAAAAAGATGGAATAGACAACATCACCACCAGATGGATCTGTAGCTGGGAAACCATACTCAACGAGTAGTTGTCAGTGGCACTACATCCACATGGAGAGAAGTAAGCAGTGGGGTACCACAAGGTTCTGTCTTAGGCCCAGTACTCTTCAATATCTTCATAAATGACTTAGATGAGGGAATTGAAGGGGAATTCATCAAATTTGCAGATAACATTAAACTGGCAGGAGTATCCAACACCCCAGAAAACAAATCCAGGAATCAAAAAGATCTTGTGAGAGGGACCTTGGAGTCTTAGTGGACGATCACTTGACTATGAACCAGCAGTGTGCAGCAGCAGCCAAAAAAGCTAATCCTGGGTTGTATAAACAGAGGCATAGAATCAAGATCATGTGAAGTATTGGTACCGTTTTATAAAACCCTAGTGAGACCACACCTGGAATACTGCAGCCAATTTTGGTCACCCTGTCACAAAAAAGATGTTGAGAGTTTGGAAAAAATTCAGAGAAGAGCAACTAAGGTGATCAAAGGCCTGGAGACTAAAACATACGAAGAATGGCTGCAGGACTTGGGTTTGGCTAGTCTAAAGAAAAGAAGAAATAGGGGAGACATGATAGCAGTGTTCCAGTATTTGAGGGCTGCCACAAAGAAAAGGGGGTCACCATATTGTCCAAACCACCAGAAGGCAGGACAAGAAACAATGGTTGGAAACTGACCAAAGAGAGAAGCAACCTGGAATTAAGGAGAAACTTCCTGACAGTGAGGACAATTAACCAGTGGAACAGCTTACTCCCAGAAATCATGGGCACTCCATCACTGGAGATTTTTAAGAAGAGGCTAGACAGTCAGTTGTCTGAGATGGTATAGGTTCTCCTGCTTGAGCAGGGGGCTGGACTAGAAGACCTCTAAGGTCCCTTCCAGCTCTATTCTATTCAATGTCTATTTAAAACTAAGCATTCTTCAAAGTGGATTGCATTCTGAAAATAATACATTTTTTAAAAAATTGATTGTGGAGGGGTTACTTAGTGATATTTGATTAATTGGCTTCAATCTGAACTATGACAGAACAGAAACCTACGCTTTTCCAGTTCCATCTGAAGCGTCTTACTGTGTTCATTTGCCTCGGAGATCTCTTCATTTAATATCTTCTTAGCTGAAGAAAAATGCATAGAACAAATAGACTGAGAGTGGGCAGCTCAGGACAAGGACATTTTTGCATTTGAGTAATATTATACTATAATGGTCAAAATACATTTAAACCTTTGTAATATTGTAGGAAATAAAATCTAGTCCGGTTCCAAGCCAGGAGAAAGACGCAGGAGCCAATGAATTTGGAAGCAGGCTGTAGGAAATGAGGTCTCCATTTATTTAGAAATCAGAAGTGAAGTGACATAGCAATCAGTTCTGGGACAGCTAACAGCCTGGAATGGCGAGTAGAGTGGTTTTTCTACCCTTTTGGACCTTTGAGATTGAGATGCCTGGTGAGGTTATTTGATTAGATTAATAATGTGCCTTTCTGTATTCTAGTTGTCCCTATTTGTGTCCTTGGGGTGGTCGGGGTCAAGACTAACCTTGGGGAAAGGTGGGAAATGTAAATTCTGTGTGGCTGTGTTTTCTCACTCAATTCAGCCTGCCTGAGTCTAAAATGCAGAAGCCGCTTCTTGCTACATTCCCGGTGGCTTTGTTTGCCCCTAATGGATATACAGTACAGTATTGTATCCATTGACTGAGTTTCTTCTAACCAGGGTTACTTGAGGCCATTCTGGCTGGGAGGCAGGGATTGCTTTAGCTACTGTGGATGGTTTTTCTTTGCCTTCTTTGGGGGCATGGAAATGGAGGGGGGATATCTTATAATTCTTCCTACAATATTACTCAGCTAAAAAAAGTACAACAGTAACAATTTTTACTAAGATTGTGCTAGAGTTTCCTGACGGAGGAGTCCTAATAATAACGATTAAATATATTGTGGAGCTATTCTGCTTTTTATTTTTAAGACTGTTTGTAGATAGTAAAAGACTGAAACAGCAATGAGCATTAAATAAAAAAGAAAAGACCTCCAATCTTGTAAAATAGGAAGGGGGGGAGGTCAAGGCCAGGAAATGTTTCTCCCAGGCTTCTCTATGGAGGCAAGATTAGTTGCACTGATAATAACTTTTCAGGAGTTAGTTAAAACTGAGTTACTTCAGAAGGTTTGGGGGTGAATTGTGATATTGTCAGGATTATGTAATGTTGATTTAATTTTGATTTGATTTTAAATTTATATTTAGCACAGAAATGTTTTGTTTTAGAACTATTGCGAACTACCAAAAGTCTCAAAATACCACAGCATATTTAAATCAAATGAATAATTTCTTCCAATGAAGTAAAATATTTCTACTGCACAATTTATGTTCATCCAACTAAGTTTATCAAATAAAGTATATTAATGTAATCCGTGACTTCTCCCAGCCAACCATAGAAACCAACCCTTTATTTTGTGTCCCATTTGAATTGCTTACCTTGCTGCAATTTATTAATTCTTTTTACTAGATCTTCTATTTTTGGCTCTAGATTTCCCACTACCAAGGAAAAGAAAAAGGAGAAAGTTTCATTATTTAATACCTTAAAACTGTATATAAATTCACCATAACCACTTTCCTGTGTATTACTGCATATTTTTCCTTCCAGTGCAAATGCAACTGACAACTTCAGAGTGTAACTGGGATAATTTAAAATAATTAACTGTCAAATTATATTGATAGTTTATATTATAGTGGTTGAAACTTATTTTTTTAAAATGAAAATTGGATCTTTAAACCTTTCCCCTAAAATCAGAATCCCTTCTTCCATTATATTTTTCTTCTTGCACCCAGTAAAAAATTCTGGCCTTCCTCATCATGCAATTCTGTTTAAATCAAATGCACACCATACCCCTCTCAAATGAATTGATCCAGAAGCCACAGAATCTGGCCACTGTTTGGCATCAAAGCAATGTTACAATCACAATACTGTATACATACTGATTACATTTTGTAGGTCCCCTAGATTATGTGATACAGTATTTGGTTGTTCCCCTCCCCATCCCAGAAGCATGAAATCAACTATTTCCACTGTACAGGCATAATGTTGCAACATGCTGTACAAGGATAGAAGTGGCAGTCTACTTTACACATTATTTGTTTATAGTCAACAATTACCAAACTCATTTCCTACAAATATATATCTCAGGAATTTCAGCCTTCAGATTCTGTCCAACTTTATCTTCTAGTCAGAACAACCCTTTCCATAATAAGAGGGAAAAGAATTCCAAATGTCTCAATTCCCAGCTATTTTCTATATGGTAAGCGGTGTGTTGTCCTCCAGATTTTAATAAACTATCAGCCATAACTCAAATGTGAAACATCATAGATTTTCTAGAGGACTACCCACTTTAACCATTGATAGCTCATACATGTTGCTGTCATGTGCACACTCCAAAATCTTACTAAGATGTTGTCTAGTGCCTGGTGCCCAGTCTAACTGTTGGCCCTAGCTTCAAAATACCATTTTGCATTTGTTTCACAAGTGACAGTATCTCTTCCATTTTTGATGTGAAGTTCCAGGAATCTGGACAAAGAACAAGAATAAACAGAATTGTTTAAATGTTGCATTAACCCAAGTATATATTAACCCAGATACAGTATATCAAAATCTGGACAGCATGTAGGGGTTTTGCCCATATGGGAGATTTTTTCTCTTAACTGAAAGTGTCCACCTGTGAAACGGAAATTGCAGTGTTTTCCCTGCACTTGGTACAAAATCAAAATTATAATATTTTCCACACAGAAAAGGTAATAGCAATTAACTAATGCAATTTAGCAATATATGGAGTGGAGTAGAATAGAATAGAATAGAATAGAATAGAATAGAATTCTTTATTGGCCAAGTTGATTGGACACACAAGGAATTTCTCCTTAGCAAATTTGTCTTCTTGGCAAATGAGTGCATTTTCAGATTTCTTCCTGTGGCTGTCCTCTGCAGTTGATGTAGACAGTAAGGAGGATGATCTTGATGGAAATATGCAAGAACTATTACAGTGCTTAGGCAAAAGTGGTTAAATATATCTTAAAACCTGGGAAAAATTCAAAAGATAAGAATATTATAGAGCCATGGTGGCACAGTGGTTAGAATGCAGTATTGCAGGCTAATTCTGATGACTGCCGGCAGTTCGATTCTCACCGGCTCATGGTTGACTCAGCCTTCAATCCTTCCGAGGTAAAATGCAGACCCAGATTGTTGGGGGCAATATGCTGATGTTGTAAACCGCTTAGAGAGGATAAAGCACTGTGAAGCGGTATATAAGTGCTATTGCTGTTGCTATTCAGAAGCATTTCAGGCAGATGCCTTCCTGATTCACTGGAAGGGGGATGAAGTACAATGCAATGTAAGATTTTGTTATTATAGATATGAATACAGTTGGATAGAAAATTATTGTACCTTCCCTCCAACGTATCCATCAGAGTGAGGGCTTCCTGAGATGAATTGATAGAACACTAGAATAATATTTACATTAATATTATTAATAGTATAGAATGAAATAGAAGTATTATTAATAGTATAGAATGAAATATTCTGTAGTTTCTATTAAATATTAATATAGAATATTGCAGAAATATTTAAGAGTAGAAAAGGATTTGCAGAATAGACTTTCATTATAATAGAAGACCTTTAGAGTTCAGGGTTGAGACTTAAAAAACTTTTCCTCTGCTGTATCCAGTGGGACCAAACTTTAGCCTTTATTAATATTTCATTCTGGCCACGCTCGATTAAAAACTGAACTGAAAGAAAACAATAAGCTAAATCTTTGGCTACACTTTTTTTTTCTCCACTTGGAAACAAATCTAATAACAAAGATGGACTGAATCAGGGACCTCCCATAAAAGTCCAGTTTTAGGCAGCATTCCAAAAGAGCAAATACTCATAGTTAACTTCTTTCAGGGAAGCAAAACCAAGCTTTGCTGTACATAATTTCTCTTCCCTGTGTAAAGGTAAAAGACTAGGAGCAAGGAATACCAGGTTCAATCCCACTCCAGCCACAGAAGCTCACTGGGTGACTCTCAGCCCAATCTACCTCTCAGGAGTGTTTTTGTGTGTGCAGATATAGAGGACGAGGGAGCACTATGTATGCCACCTTGAGTCCCTAAAGGAAAAGCAGAATATAAATCTAACCAATGATAAAATATGCGATCCTGTCATAGCACAATGCTGGATCATACTTATTTTTCTGGATTTTTGTACATAATATTTTGGAAGCCTCAACTTAAATCCAGCAGGAAATTCTGAATCTAGAAAGCTAAACACTTGCACCTGGCAAAAGAGAAATGATCTAGTAGCTACTTCTTCCATTGCCCTATTGAACTATCATTTTCCTTCCTTTTGGATTAAGCAGTTGGGGAAAGAAGAAGAAAAACCACAGCTCATTTGCCAAATGTCTCTCACTAACGGTAAACCGCAACTTTTATAAAAAGGGGAAGGGAAGCTGGCTGAGAAGAGAAGGAAATGTTGATGAAATGGATGAGATTGGGGTAAAAAACCCACTGTGAAGAATTTTACCACATTTTGTGAGGATCTCCTCCCTTCTCCTTGCCACTTTTAGAAGGAAATAAAAAACCCTTTCCAGTGTTTGGCTCCAAGCCAGGAAAGAAAATGCCAGATGACACTTGTGGAGAATCGTATTTTTTCTTTATTAGAAGAGCCCCAGCATAGAAAGCACACAGGGTTAGGCAATGGCTGTGCAGGAACACTGCCAAATACCCCGTGTTCATTACCTTTTATCTTTTAAGCCTGTGGCTACTACCGATAGTTGATAGGTCCTTACTTGGAAATGTGATCTACTTCCTAGCCTACTTGCCCCTTTTTCTTTTTGTTATGGAGAATTTGTATGCTTTGTGATTAATATTTTAATAAAGGAGATATTTGCATTTTAGCATGGCATCAATGCCATCTTTTGAAGTTTAGGAAATGATGTTTTTCCTTTGAACCAAAACCATTTATTTATGGATTTATTTATTTATGCTATTTATTAATCAGATTGATATAGCCACCCATTTCACCAAAGGCGACTCTGGGTGGCACACAACAAACAGGTAAAACTACATATAAAACATTTCATGTATTAAAAATATGAAAATTACATTAAATATTACAAAAACAGAGATACAAACCCTGGGCAGAGGGAATAAAAATAGCCAGCTCACCAATGGAGCCATCTGGTTACCTGGGAGTCCCAGGCCTGATACCATAACATAACCAGGTCTTGAGGGCCTTCCAGAATATCAAAAGAGATGGAGTGTGGCATCAGGAGAGACTCGGGATGGGGGTTTAATGATTGTTACCAAGAATCTCTTACAGTTTTTAAGGGCCCTGCCCCACATGCCCCAAGTGGTGAGACCCTGTTAATCAAGTTGGGTTCTAGGGATCACCTGGGATCTTTTTTTAAAAAAAATCTTAATACTTTATGCTTTTTAATAATAAAATAATAAATATTTATTCTTTTAAATATTAAAATTAAACATTTTATTAAATAATAAAACATTAGTAAGTTTTAATATTATATAAACCTGAAATCTCCCTTGAAATAATAACATATATCATGATCTACAATGTTACAATAAAGGGGAAAAATGAGGAAAAAAAGAAATTTACTGTACATGATCCTCCCGCCTTGCTCAAATGGGGTTTCTACTCTTTCCGGGATTCTTTTTAAAATAATTTTTATTGAGAATTTTCCCTTGAATAAAAGAAAAATAAGTAATATATAAAAAGAAGAAAGAAAGAGAAAAAAGTATAGGAAACAATACACTTCAAAGAAAAAATAATAATTAAAGAAGTGTCTTCCAATCTTTGTTACCGCAGTTACAATCAATATTATTATCCCTCTCAAACATAACACTCCTTCTGTTCTACAAATGGCATTACTTCTGCTAAATATTCTGAAAATAATTGATATCATGATTTATAATATTACAATAAAAAGAAAAAATGGGGGGGGGCAGGGAGTCTGTGTGATCCTCCCACCTTGTTCAAAGTGGGGTTACTTCTGCTAGATATGTTGCCTTCCCTCTGAAGGATCTGGATTCTTTCCTCTGATGGTCTCCATCTTTGTACCCATCCCCTTCTTACCTGGGTGGATGCCCTCCATCCTTTTCCTCCAGGATGCAGGAGGGTCCTTCCTCCTTCCCACCTCTTCTCAACTGACACTAAACAGGAAAAGACTCAGAGGCAAGTTCTGCTGCTTAGAGACCAATTCAGCTGCAGGCTGAGGAAAGAAAACTAGGCCTCTGTTTATCCTGCCCTTGTGTGCAAAACCAGCATGTGCGTACCGAAGAGTTACTGTGTGGATCTTAGACATGTTTTTTTTCTTTTTTTCCCTCCATATTTTTAATTTAAAATTTCCAATACAATAAAGTGAAAAAAAGTGAATAATAAAGTGAAAAAAGAGAAAAAGACAGAAAGAAAACATAGAATTATGAGTTCCACCCTTCCTTCCCTTGAGTAATTCCATGTTACTTTTTTTCCTTCCTCCTCAATCCCTAAACCTCTAAATCATCAATTCAATATTTTCTTCTTCCAACAAAAAAGTTCATATAAGGTTTCCCATTCTTTTTTTTTTTAAAGTTTTCATCATTTTTTATGCTGGCCAGTTGTGGGGGTTTTCTATGGTCTTGCTGTTACCAATACTGTGAGGAAGCGCATTTGGGCACATTGGGCATCTACTCCAATCTTTTGTTAAGAGCACACAGAAATGCAAATATTCAGACACCAACCACATTTAAGTCTCCAATATTTTATTAGGCTCCTTCAAGTGCAGCTGTTGACATAGCTTTATTATTTATTTACAAGAGCTCAGTTCTTCCTTCAAACCTCAGAGATTCTGCCAAAGAGAAATACTCTGATGGGGCCAAGGATCCTTTGCTTACAACACTCCATCAACGTTTTCTATAATGTACAAAAGCAGCAAAAAGGAGGAAATAAAGTAATGGTCAAGTGTAACAGTCCTAAAATATTACATAACTAATACAAGATCCTAGGGCAGGTTATACAACTGAAGAGGATCAAAGAAATGCTGTGTCTTAATAGAATACTGGTAAAATGTGGAGAAGGGAAAAAGTGGGGGGAAAGCAAATAAGACTGAAAACATGATACGATAGTTACAGTTTTCAAGTTCAAAAAATAAAAGTCAAACACATGTTTCTGAAAAATAAAGAGCTGTTTCAATTAATAACAAAGTAGGGATTACTCTTCATTTAGCACCAAAAAAAAAGATGACATATTTTAAACAATCAAGTCAATCCCTTCCAGCTCAGAAGAAATTGGTTTCTAGGATCTGCTCTATCCAGAGTCAACAAAACCCACTTGAATTTCTGCTTTTTAAATTATTCTAGGCTTTATCAAGTCCTCCAGAATACAGAATTTTATTATGCATGATGCACTATTTTAATTTAATTTATTTTAATTTAAATTAGCCACTCATCTTACATTCTTGACTCTAGGAAACTTACAATTAGCGCTATGCCTGAAGCATTCCTTGGATGGAAATGCTTCTGGCACAGCACAAGATTTACAGCTTTATTGGTCAACACCAGCTCCATGAAACACATTTGGTAAACAGCATGGAGTGAGAGAAGAGACAATCAAGCATACAGGCAATCCTCAACTTACAACCACAGTTGGGACCAGAATTTCTGTCAGAAGTTACTGTGTCTAAGTGAGCTATCACATGACTAGATCCAATTTTACAATCATTTTTACCATGGTTTTTAAGCTGTGGAGTCCTTGATGCTCCCTGAGCTTGGTTGTTTTCTTGCAGACATTGACTCTGTGGACAAGATATATAAACAGAAAGCAAACCTCGCTCCCTTCTATCACTGAAGATGTTACCTAGTCAGGTAGTGAAATGTCTGCAAGAAAACAACCAAGCTCATAGAGCACCAAGGTCTCCACAGTTCACTCCTGAGCTACATAAATTCTCTTCAATTGGTCATTAAGTAAATCAGACAGTCATTAAATGATTCACATGGCTGTTGAGCAAATCCGGCTTCCCCAATTAACTCTGTTGGGATTCAGCTGTGAAGTTTGCAAATTGCAGTCATGTGACCGCAAGACATTGCAACCATTGTAAATGCAAGTCAGTTGATAAGTGCCTGAATTGCAATCACGACTGTGGGGGCCGTACAATGCTCGTAACTTCAAGGACAAGTCATAAATCGCTTTTTCCAAAGCTATCATAACTTTGAATTGTCATTAAATGAATGGTCATAAGTTGAAGACTATTTGTATAGCAGTTTCCTTGACCTTGCAGATGAACACTGAAAACAACTATACTGTCCAAAATCCTATATAAATAATTATTGTGGCTAAAAAAGATGTTGAGACTCTAGAAAGAGTACAGAGAAGAGCAACAAAGATGATTAGGGGACTGGAGGCTAAAACATATAAGGAATGGTTGCTGGAATTGGGTATGTCTAGTTTAACGAAGAGAAGGACGAGGGGGGACATGATAGCAGTGTTCCAATATCTTAGGGGCTGCCACAAAGAAGAGGGAGTCAGGCTATTCTCCAAAGCACCTGAAGGCAGGACAAGAAGCAACGGGTGGAAACTAACCAAAGAGAGAAGCAACCTAGAACTAAGGGGAAACTTCCTGACAGTTAGAACAATTAACCAGTGGAACAACCTGCCTCCAGAAGCGGTGAATGCGCCAACACTGGAAGTTTTTAAGAAGAAACTGGACAGCCATTTGTCCGAAATGGTATAGGGTTTCCTGCCTGAGCAGGAGGTTGGACTAGATGACCTCCGAGGTCCCTTCCAACTTTATCATTATTATTATTATTA